GCCCGGTACCATTTGACACCTGAGACGGTAGAATGAACGGCGAACGATCAAAACGCTCGTTTGATATTTAGCGTGGAAAAAACGACTTCCTGTTCACGCGAGCGACAATTTTCCCGAGCAGCTCGAGGACTCGGCTAGGAATAACGAGGCTCTCTTCGTATCCAGCGACTCTCCACGGTGTTTCGTGGATACTTCCTCGTATACCATACCGTATCTCTCTTTCGCGCGGTCTATGCGCCGTCCCGGCGCGCGTTCACGACCGTTTTATTTCGTTCGATTCGAAACGAGTTCCAATCGACGTCTCATTCCACGTGTTCACGCCCCCTACACGCGATAGAGCTACATCATTTCCCCCTGACCCGGTCTAGCCCGTTCTATGCGGTCGTCCGTTCCACTCCGGACCACACCATGCCATCTTACGCTATTATGATATCGATGAGAGAGAAAGAGAGAGAGAGAGAGAGAGAGAGACACGAATATTTAACCCTCGAACCGTACAGGTTTTTTTATTGTCGCCTTTATCGCCGCCAGTCCTCTCTTGGGAAATAAGTCGAGATATAGTCGAAGTTTTTCCAATAAAAATCTCTCCGGGAGCGTACGTGCCTCGGGTTTTACGTCGTATCTGAGAAGCGAACGGAAATGAGCTTAAAATGTTATCACTTTTTATTTATTTCGTTGGAATTTGAATGATATCGCATTAGAGATACTACAAACGGGTATCATTTAGCTTCTTCGTTATTCAGTAAAAATTTGATATTAAATTTAACACATTTCACATGTTCCGGACAGTTTGCTCAAATTTTTGTGTCAATTTAACACAAGGTGAATATGTCGAAAAGTAACACAAATATTAGGTAAAAATTAATACGTTAATCGACACAACTGTTAAAAGTGTTATTTTAACATTTACATATGTTGAATATCAACATAACACAAAACAACATAAATACAATATATTAAATGATATACGGGTATGTTAAAAATTTAATACAAAAATTTTAACTAGGACCGATTTTAACATAAATACAACATGTTTTTTACTGTGTATATCTAAACGAACTATAATTAAATATTTTAGATGTGTGCATGAAAGATACATCTTATAATCTCTACAAACGTCTTACATGTGTGAAGACTGTACGATTTCAATATTTTTTAATTATTAAAAGAAATTATATATTTAAAGGGATCCAGAAATGCAACGTTATTATGCAATTTATTCATTTCACATATGCCTTTTTATTAATGAATTATATAAATTATAAGTAACCGATTTCTCTCTCTCTCTCTCTCTTCCTCCCTCTCTCTCTCTCTCTCTCACTCCACACACATTCCCTCTTAATCCCTTTCAATTTATTTCAATCTCTTTCATTCTTTTTCACTTTATCTCAATCTCACTCATTCACTTTTAATCCCTCTCATCAGTACCCATCTTAACATTCGAACTGTCAAAACAAACAATCTTAGCTGATGACAGCTGTTCGTGGTAACTGTCGAAGTAACTACTCGCATTAAAATCGAGCTAGTCGTTTAGTATTACGAGAAGAAACATACCAACGCGATATAACACATTTTTAAGATATAGTAATAATAACAAAAAAAATGCAACGCATATTTTTAAAATAGGAAAACGTTAATTTACAATTGCAATATGTACACTTTCAAATTACTCCAAATGTGATACCTGCTTTCTATATTTTTAATGTATTATATATAATAATAAGTTCCAACTCGTAGCATTCAAGAATCACAATAAGTGTTCCCTTATTGCTACAAAGAAAATTTAATCCTCCAGAGTCTAAATTTTAATTCTACATTAAGTTTTCAAGTGGAAAAACGGCAATAACTTCTCCATTAGTAGCATCAAAGAAGCACAACAGAAGATCTTTGAACACCTAATGAAACTAAATTAAAGTAGGACTAAAATTTCTACTCGGGCAATCCGCCAATGACAACACGATCATCTTTCTTGAATCACCGGATTTACCTACTTTTAGCATATTTATCAGCTCCCTCCCATCCTCTCTCTCTCTCTCTTTCTCTCTCTCTCTCTCTCTACTCGACAACGTAAAACATCGTTACCAGATTTACCAGACCGCGCTGGGTACTTCACTAAGCGTGAGCCTGCTTTTTGCTCGCTCTGGTTCTCGGGAGCCTCGCTTGATCTCTCTTGGTTCTCTTCTTCTTGGCCCTTCTTGATCTCGCTCGGCCTCACTCGCCTCGAGTTGTTTACGCCCTTCGCGGAGACGACCGAGGACCATTTCGATCCGGTTGACGGCCGTTACGCATGATTGCGTAAATTCACCGCGGGGACGACGAGGTCGATTTGGACGCGTAAATTAGGTGCCGTCTCGCGTGGCCGTGACCTCTTATCATGGGTCATTGCGGGCCTGGGATTATCGCGTCGCTCGAAAGTATTTCTCGTACTCCTCTGGTCGTGATTAGTGAAAAGCTACATGACTGTTCTCACGCGGGTCGATCGGTTCAAATCCGAATCGGGCGACAGCAGGACTTGCTGCCTATCGCTCTGCTCGTGAAATTCATTGAAGCACATTTTAAGTCTGTATTTATGGCCCCCGACTTATCTAATCAGTTTCCTCTCCCGCGGATAATTGATTACGTTTAAAGGTTATCAGCACGCTGCGCCAGTAGCGATAACTTCTCGATCCGTGCTTGATTTTTCCATCGCTGCCCATCGCTGTTTCTTCTCGTCGCGTTAATTAACCCTTAAACCCCGGGTCCGGAAATTGTTAATTATCGTCGGAAATTCCTCCTATTTTATCTTCAGGAAAAATATGAAAAGTTCCTCCATTATTATCCTTTCGTTCCCAGACGCGCGTCTGGTTTGGTTGAAGGAACGCAGGAGAGAAATTTTTTGTCGGCACAGCAAATTGTTTGTCATTAGCGTAGCGACAGCAAAAAAATTTGTTTGGGCGGCAAAAAGATTTGTTTGGACGGCGAAGAGATTAGTTAAGAATATTAATTGCTAATTATGTCAACTAAATTTTATTGCTATCGCAACGATGTCTTGCTACAATAGCAACGTTATATTTTCCGCGTAACAAACCTTTTTGCTATGGTAACAAACAATTTTTTGCCGTGCCAGCAAAAAATATTTCTTCCTGCGATTACAGTGTGTCACAGAAGATACTCGGGACGGAATGAATTAATTGCGGCCGGTTGTGCGTCTCCCTAATTTCATCGTATTCGTCGTATCGTTTCCCGACGAGTCTCTTGAAATTCGCTGCTACATCTTCTTGCTGCATTGCGGGACTCTCAGGAAAGACGGGAGAAGAAAAGACGAAATACAAGAGCTATATAATATCAGCACAGACACTATCGAGGTCCAGAAATGATCCCGAGACGTGTTCAAAGGTCGTCTGAAAAATTAGGGCGCCTTCTCGCCGTTGGTGATGTCTGGGAGGGAATTCTGGGAAAGGAATATTACGACAGGAAGAAAAGGAAGGAGGCGAAGCGAAGTCAAGGGCAAAGATATTTGCCGTATCTCCGTTCGTACGAGGAAAGAAGAAGGAAGGAACTCGGCTCTGAAGTTCGGAGGCGGGCTGTGAAGTACCATGGGGAATTTTTCCAGCGTCTGTACGGTCCGTATTTCCGATCGAAGAAGAAGAACAAGTCTGTCGAACGAGGAAAAAACTAAGAAGCCTAAGGACAATCGTGCTCACGTCGTCCAGATGACGGCCCCTCGCCCGAGGACGGAAAGCAAAGTCTTCGACGAAGAAGAAATCCCGGAGGAGTGCACACGCGACTTTCCGTCGTGTTTCTTACCCGCGGCTCGCTCGCGGCCAGGAAAGAGGAAGAACGGGAAAGTTCACGCAGGCGGACTCGGCGACCCGAAGGCTACTTTCGTCTAGGAAAAGGCGGGACGGAGAGTAGATGGAATGCGAGGGAGCGAAGGTACTCTTGCAGTATCCCGTGCGCAGCGGATGCCGAGTATCATCTCGCCGATCAGAGGCGCAACGCGTAGTATCTTCCTCGTCGCGCGGGGACGTTCAGCGCCATCTGCTGCTATCCGGGCAGTCCGTCATCCGGGACCCCCACCGCGATCGTGGGTTCCCACTGGAACCCATGGGCCCCACCAGTGTGGCAGCCAACCATATCGCGGGACCGGACAGGGCACACCGGACGGGCCATGTAAACAGAGAGGGCGAGGAGATAAGAGAGTTCGTCTCCGAGAGCGTCGCGACGGACCCGGCAGGGCCTCGAGCATCCCGTTTCTTCTCGAAGAAAAGAGAGAAAGGAAAAACGAGCGAGCGAGAAAGAGAGAGAGAGTTTCCGTCTCCCCTTCTTTATCATCATCTTCTTCTCCTTCTTCTTCATCGTCCTCGGTCCCCTCCTAGTCGTGGCTGGTCTCCGCTCGCGCGCTCGCTGCCACCATTCATAAATCCAATCGATCCACCGAACAATACCGCAATTAGCGGCGATTAAAGCTCCATTCGCCGGACACGCGTTCTCTCTCCTTCTCTCGTTCTCGCCGCCTGCTCTTCGCGCGTTCTACGTCTCTTCCTCTTCCTCCACCGTCCTCTGACGCGTTTCTCGTATATACCGCTGCTGCATCTCTTCTCACTCCCGAGTCCGGGCCCGCGGCTTTGCCTCCCTTCCCTTGCCATCGGGAACCCGCGTGTCCCTCTCCGTCCGTGATCCGCGGCCCTCTCTTCTCACCCCCCCCACCCCCCACCCCTCCCAACAGCTCGTTCCTCGGTCTCTCTCTGTCCTCTGCTCCTTCTCTCTGCTCCTCGGCGGTTTCTCTCCACCTCCACCAGACCGCCGACTCCGTCTCTCTCCACCTCCTCCACCCCTGCCCGCGCTTTCGGAGTTTTTGGAAAACGCGAGGGTTCCCGAGGAACTTTTTGGGATCAGTGCCGCCGCGGCCGCTCGACGAGTAGGGTATATACGTTCACCGTCGTCGTCGTCGCGGCAGTTCGCGGACGACCACGCGGCTGCTTTTCGCTCTCTCTTTCTCTCCCTCTCTCTCTCTCTCTCTCTCTCTCTCTCTCTCTATTTCCCTCTTTCTCTTTCTCTCTCTCTTTCCCCCAGTTCCCTCAATTTTCCCGCGGTAGGTATCGCGCGGAAAGTCGCGTGGTCATGCGCATTTAATCCGGTTGCGTGTTATCAGTGCTAACGGCTGAGTCTCGATCACATCCACAACGACGACGACGACGACCGCGACGACGACGGGGATGATAACGCGCCTGAAACCCGTAAGTGATTTCCTCGATACATTTTAACGCGTTTCGCGCTCTGATTGCGCACCACGCGGCCGTAGCCTCGTCAAGATTGTCAAGGACACGCGACAACTCGCGCGGCTATTCGAAGGACCCTCATAAAGTCCGATCCAGGATATGCGGAGTGACGAGATGAAAAACGGCGGAACGCGAATCAAATTAAACATAATATTTAATTAACCGAGTGTTTGGGAGACGAATTATTGCGATCTTATAAAATTGCGCGCTTCCGCGCCAGTACGCGTAATTTGCGCTACCTGCGTTGTAATCGAAGTGCGTTTTCTGACAGGATACGGAGAGAGAGAGAGAGAGAATGTTACTCTCTGCGGGATCCAACGGTAATTACAGCGTTCTTAGGTTTTACTCGATCACGCGAGGGAGTTACAATTTCCTCTGCGATATGAATATATGTCATACTTACACAAGTATAATAAATAGCAGTTTAATAAATCATGTTTAATAAATCACTATATCGCTTACGCACCGTTATATATTTCGAAACTCCGCAGGTGCCGCGCGAGAACGCAAATGCGATTAGAGATAGATGGATAGATATATAGAAAAGTTCCGTTTGCGTATACCTTTGAGCTCATTAGTGAGAAGAAATCAAGTTGAAATTTTAGTTTTACATTAAATCTTTAAAGATCTTCTATTGTGCAAAGGAAAGGTTCATTAACAATTAAAGTGCAATTAGTTTAATGGTGTTACACAATAAATTAAGTCATAGGAACATTTAATAAATTCAAAATTCCAATTCGATCTTTCTTGAATCCTTCTCAATAACTTATAATATTATAATATATATATAATATATAATTATACTATATAATATCATAATATATATATATAAATATATAATCATTACAATATACGATTTATTATAAGTTATTTCTACTGAGTAGTATTTTAGCTCTCTATGACTTTTTCCGTTGAACTTTTGGAGATTGGAGATCGGAGAATCTTATAAACATTATCCGTCTTCTATTGTGTTCCTTTGATATTACATGGTGCTACGTAGGAAAGTTATTGCCGTTTTCCACTTGAAGACTTAACGTAGGATCAAAATTTAGACTCGGAAGGTTTCAATTTGTAGCATTTAAAAGAGCACTTATCGTACTTATTTGATGCTATAAATAGAAACTCATTTCCGTTTTCCCCAATTGAAGGTTTAACGTCAAATTAAAAATTTCGACTCGGGTACTGTACCGCGAAAATTTCGCCCAGCGAGGCCGGGTGAAAGGAGAGAAAGAAGGAGGAAGACGCGAGGTAGAAATCGACCGATCGATCGTCCGTCCGACCGATCGATCGATCGATCGATCGGTCGCGAGGAAGAACGCATTCCTGCCGCGGCGATCCCGCTTTTTACGAGACACCCTATAAGATGAACGGCCCGTGTGTGTGCCTTCCTGCGGCCGTCCATTCGTTTTTATCCCAGGACACGACCATCACCAAGCATCACCACCACCACCACCGTCGCGCCATCTCACCACCACCACCACCACCTGTGGCACGAGCACGCGAGCGAGGCGTTCGGGATTTCCGGGTCCGCGCGGTGCGCGCACGCGAGAGCGAGCGTGAGACTCCCGATCGCGTCGATCGCGCGCATCGGCCGATCGGCTCTCGGGGAGACGATCGTCGCCGAACGCGGCGTGTGTACGCGAGAAGAGGAGAGAAATAATTCGGATAAGTCGCCGGAGAGATAGTGCGCGCGCGACGGGCTATGCGCGCGATCCGCTGATCGATATAGAGAAGAAGAGAACGGGCGAGAGAGGCGAGGTGTTTGTCGGCCGTGTCGAAGCTACAACGTCATGGTAATTATGGCAATTAACGCGGCATACCGCGGAGATGTTGTCGAATCGGCTCTTGTCGTTGTCGTCGTTATTGTTGTTATTGTTCCGTTGTGAGAAAGTGCGTGAGGTGCGCTCTCGCGGACGCACGCCCGAATTTTCCGCTCGGATTTTTCGCGTGACGGACAACGCTGCGATCGATCAACTGAGAACGCGCGAATTACCACGAGAGATGATCATCCGAGGATTCCGCGAGTCGCGAAGGGAAGAAGCGGACTGAAGAGTCGTCGGAGAGGAAAAAGAATATCGGAATATCGTTGCGATAGCTCGTCGACCGGCTCGCGTTTGAAACGGATTTGGCTTTTGCAACGGCATAATGCTTCTTATTAATTTTATTCGAGCTGAACGCGGGTAGAGGAGAGCGAAAGCAACGAAAATGTCAGTCGGTAATCGAGATTAGCGAGCGTGATTAGTCGGCTGGAAATGCTTCGATCACATTCGCCTCGGTCGTTTCTTACTTCGGACTGCAAACTGTTTCGAGTTAAACGATTTTAAAACGGACGTTGCAGCGCTCGAAGGTTCGCCCGGCGGAGGGTGAGGTAACGGTTTCCGCTGGGAAAAACGTGGCAGCTTCAGCGGGGAAGGTGACGAACAACGAGTACGAAGTTGACATTTGTATCGGTCTCACCTTCCGCCGGACTCGGTTTTTTTTCTTTTTTTTTTTCACCGAACACATAGTAGATGTTTAAATATAATGTTCATCCACAATCGTTAATTTTGAATAACAGTTTTGTGTGCTCGAACGTAACAAAAGCGCACCTCTAAACTGCGTTTGTTCGTATTTTTCGATCATCACGCTGAGAAAGAAGAATAGAAATTTTGCGAAATAAATATTTCTTGTGTGACATTTTCCTCGAATATTTATGGGTTGGAAAGCAAATTGGACTCTAATAACGGAACGTATAATTTAGTGAAATATACCTAAGTTTTCTTATTGACTGGTTTATTTGATATGGATCAGATTTCATTTCGCCGTGTTTCTTCTGTGTGTGTGTGAAATAAATCTTATATTTCGCGAATAAATTTTTATGTCCTTTTCTTCTCAGTGCACCGAACGTTCGTCTTTTCGATCAAAATTCGCGCACGTTTGTTTCTTCCTCTTCTACACTGCAGAGAAAAGAATTTGGCAATAATTATCCAGACTTGGTTAAATAGTTTCAACCTAATTTTGTTTGGTTCATTTAACCAAATATTGGTCACTTTTGCCAAATACTTTTTTCAGTATGGATTTTTCGCTTCTTATTGTATTCCGACACTTTCTTGCGCCGGTATCCTCATTGTACGCAGCTCGCCGCTCGCTAATGTTTTTCCGGGGAACTCTTCATTTAATTTGCCGGCACATTCGCAATGTCGAGTGGTCGGTCGCAGATCGAGAGACGGTCGTGGCGGTCAATCATTTTATTTGCGGAATGTTAAGTGCCGTTGAGAGACACGCGCGGTAACTTGCCCCGATGCGCGAACGATTACGTACGCGGCCGGAGAATAGACCGTACCGTAAACGTAGGTAATCGCGAAACGGGAATCGCAATTTCGCGAATGACCACGTCATGACGACGACGACGACGACGAGAATGAAGAAGAAGATGAGGGAAGAGAAGAAGAAGGAGAGAAGGGAGAGGAGGTTGAGGAACAACGTTATACGGAAACGGCGAGATGTGTAATTCGCGCCATCCGCGGCGCATCGCGCGCACATTAAACCCGCGGCGCCGCGTGTTTACCGCGCGTTCCGGAAACTTGAAATCGTAAGAACCGTATTTGGAGGTGGCTTCTATAACGCTACGGTGCCGCTTTGTTCGCAAAGGATCGCGGAAAATCGTTGAAAGTTCAGGAATCCGAAGGACGAGAGCGTGCGAGGCCGAATTCACACTTGAGGAGGAGCGCGTTTCGTAAAAATTAATTGATATTAAAAATTAAAAATTAATTCGAATTAATTTGAACTAAAATTAATTTAAAGGAATTAACGCGTATCAAATTAAAATTAACTTGAATTATCTAAAATTACATTAAAAAATTTACTTAGAATTGACTCAGACAAAATTCTTGTTTGGATGTGGACAAGCAATTTTGTTTGCGAGAACCAAAGGTTTGGTTCTCTGAAACGAAAATGAAAAAGATTTGGCTCAGAGAATTAAATTTTCGTTCTCACAACCAAAACATTTGTTTGTCTATATCCAAACAAAAATTCTGTTTGATTCAATTCAATAGATTTTTCAATGTAACTTAAATTATCGGAAATTTGAATTATCCGAATTATCGGTGGGGAAAACTTCGATTTAAAAAAATTAAATTTTAAATTGAATTAAAATAAAATTAATTATTCAAAGATTCATTTCTCCCGGTGGTTCCTCTCCGAGTTCGCGTTCCCCGTTACGTAACTCCCGAAAAGCGTCTCTTGATATTTCGGCAGACAAAATTCGACTGTGAATCTCACGAGAAACAAACGTTCGTGCCACCATTGTTACGCGTTGCGGCTCTCTTCGCTCATCCCGAGATACGACTTCCTTGAACGTGTTATTACGCTGCTCCTGGATCGAATATAAGCAGGGAAAGTACTTATCGGTGGGTTATCAAGCGCAAATAGTCGCCTGTCCGACAAATAGGTCGACCGGCGAGATAATACAGTCGCCTGGATTTGCGTTTCTTCCGCGACGGACCGAGAAGGGGCGCCGATATTTACTCTCCCGCTTTGTCAATTTCACTTTCGGTAAACATTTCGTCTCTCCGCTTCGTTGTATCGAAGCAACACCAACAATTGCGAAAGAGTAAGAGAGAGAGAGAGAGAGAAGATAGGCGATCGCATCTCGCAACGAGTGATAAACATGCGCGCGAATGACGAAATTTTCTTCGAACGGGTCCGCCTCGTCGAAAAGACACCTCATCGCGAAGCGATTTTCCTCGCGGGAAATCCTTGCCAATCTCAGCCGGGAGCGTGACGGTGTGCTTTTAACGCGGATACGCAGTTGATCGTGTCTCCCTGTGAGCCGAACCGTTACACAGAGAAAACCGCGCTTAATGATCCGCGGATGCATAAATACAATGTGTTACGGGCGAGCTAAGAACGTAATTAATTTGTTTCATGCGTGGCTGATAGCCACGCTCGCGGAGATACCGATACACCCGTGCGTACAA